CACACACACCACACCACACCACACCACGCCACGCCACGCCACGCCACGCCACGCCACGCCACGCCACGCCACGCCACGCCACGCCACGCCACGCCACGCCACGCCACGCCACACCACACCACACCACACCACGCGCACACACACACACACACACACACACACACCCGCGCGCGCACACACACGCACACGGCACTTCTCTCTGTTTTGGTGCCCGTGTGTGCTGCTCCCGGAAGTGTTTTACTTTTGAGGCAGCGACATGCTCGACTATGAGCAGATCGCTTCTGACCAGGCGATGCGGTAAGAGTCACCTGCTGCTTTGATAGATGCTGCCATTGTCATGGCTTTCTTGTGACATTTAGTAACGACTGGTATGAGAATTGTCTTGCACAACCTTGCTTAATACCATTATGATGACAATGATTGTAGGTTTGGTTGCTACACGTTTGAGCTTAAGGGGCTACCTACTTGTTCAGGAGGTGTTTCGACTTCGTTTCTGGGTAGAGGATGATGCCAAGCCACCTTGCTTTCTTCCTCGAAGCTCACTATGCCGAAGTTTTTGAATCGATGATTTGTTGTACGAGCTTTCAGCTTAGGGACATAGACTCTGGGGACGAGGCTTTGAAATCAAGTTTGATGCCTCATGGCTTGGCTATGTCAGGCTTATGTCCAACACGATTACGCAGCCGTCTACGGTTAATCGAGTATTCAGTACTTGCAGCATTTCACGGACCTCAGTAGGCGCACGTGTGTGTTCCAACTCTTCCCGTTCAGGACTCAGGGCAAGGAAGTTTCAGAGGTATCGAACCACTTAGTCTAGAAGTAAAGCCTGATTAAACATTAGCGCGCATCATGTTGAGGCAGGACACCCCTTTGGCGATGCTGCAGGCAGAAACTGTCATGTTGAGAGCTTCTTGTTTTGTGGAGGCTGGGGCTTCGTGGCCGTGAGATTGATGTGAAACCGATTGCAAAAGGGTTGTGTAGAAAAGAACGGCAAGGCCGCAAGGATTCACTTTCTCTCTTCTTTTTGATCCGCGTAAAAAGGGGTTCCTCCGTTCGTGAAGTAGCCGAGTTCTAGAGAGCTGTGCCGCACATGCCTCGGCTTCTGGCCCAAGGTTTTTCGAGACCTGTTGAGGGCTTTGGGGACTGCTCCCTTTGGCTCCAAACGGACTGGAAGGGCCCAAGGGGGCTTTTGATCTCTGAGGTTGAAGACTTGCGGGTAGCTTGGCTTTCATGTGGACATCTTGTCTCTAGTCACATCTTGGAAGGCAAGTTTTTATGCCAAAACTTCTCCAGCCCTTAAATTAATTCTACACAACCAGACCTGATATGGTTTCAGCTTGAAACAAAAACAGACCTTGCGTCTGATGCCATACGAAACCCAGCTCCAGCCACCGCCCAACGCCTTGACTCAAATCATCGCCAAGAACCGAATTGCAAAACCTGCAAGCCCTGAAGCCAGGTCTTGTGATGCGGCAAGAGCAGGCTGTAGTATCGGGTTCTGAAGCTTTTGGGTCACGGGTCACTAAAAGTTCTCAGCTGAGGTTATCTGAAATGGCTCGTGTAGCTGTGGGATGTAAGGGTTGTTGGTTGTACGTCTAAGGGAAGTCTTCCGTGCTTTGGGTCCAACGTCGGTCCTGACTTTTTTTCTCTTTGTTCTTGTCTCTTTGGTGAGACTTTCGTGTGGCCTCCAGTGTAAGCTTTGGCTTTGAATTTTCCAGTATTTGGGAGGAGAAACCGCATCCCCTATTTCTCTCCATCCTCTCTTGAAGCTTTGGTTCTTGGCAGGCATATATACCGGGCAAGGTTGGGACATAGAGTAGTTTCTGGGCTCGGGGGTCAAATTTGTTGGTTTGCTTTCTCGACGAAGCTTTTGAGCCTGTTTTGCCATCTTCAAGGTATATACCTGCCTGAGCACTCTAAAGTTCTGGCTGCCAGATCCAGTGTTTTAGGGCTTTAGGCATGCATCTTTGGTGCAGTGCGAGAGCAGTAGTCTGAGGAGCTACACTGAAAATTGAAGATCAAGAGAGGCGAGGGAGGCACAGATTGGAGTGTCAGACCAAGTCCCTTCACTCGAAGTTTACTTCCGTATTCTTTTCCCGAAAAACTTGGCATCCTCTCAGTGCCATCCTCTGCAGATACTACGCAGCTGAATCTGTTGCCATAAGGCCTCGGCACAGCAGTTCTGCTTTAGAGCTTTATGGGCTTCCTGGGATAATCGTAAGATCTGCATAAGCATTGAAGCATAGTTCACATCAACAGCTTCTGAAATCCAAGATTTGTCCACAGCAGGCAATTGTCCCTGGATCCCCGCAAAACCTAACCTCTAATTCAATCTAAACCTTGGTGGCGCTTGCGGCGTTTTGGAGGAGCCCTTGCCTGGCTCCGGCTGAATCGCTCACGGCGGGTGAGGGCTCTGGGTTTTGGCTCTAGGCCTACTCCAGGAAATACGTTACTAGAATTTGGGGTTCTGCAGCCTTTGATAGGTTTGGAGCAGTGTTGGTGAAGATCAAAGATATAAGAGATGTTTGATCCAAGCTGAAAGGCAGGGCAGGGAAAGCAGACTTTTGGAGGGTGAAGGCTTCAAACAGTTCCAACGTCCCAAATAGTTAGCTTAAAAACAGTATGACATGCGCTGAAACCCTCCGCACGTTTGGTTTTTCAGGCTTTCCTGGTGTGAGGCTTGGAGAGTGTTCAGGCTTAACGCAGGCTTGCCTGGATGAAAGACTGAATAACAGTTGAGCAATCATTCCCAATGTTTTTCGAGAGTTGGGAGAAGAGTGTATCCAAGTACCATGGAGCCAGAATTCTATGTGAGCTTCATGTGAAGACACGTGCTGGCTTCGCTCACCCACATGGTGGGTATTGATTTTCACCGCGTCGGCTAGTGCCCTTCCCGCAAATTTAAAGTCATCATCACTGCCATTCGCTTTATCCCAAAGGCCGCTAGTGACAGCCAAGTTTGCTGGAGCAGTGTTCCCGGCATCGGTAGCTATTGCGTGGTTTCCTGGGGCTGAGACGAGAAGCTTGGACGATCTGGAATGTAGGTGATCGTGGTTAGGTAAATAATGTAAATATGTATCTCCAGCTAGCCAAGCCCACTCCTGGAAGGGTCCTGACCCAACCAATCGCTCACCATTGCTTTGTGCAGATGGCAAGAAGTTCTTCGAATATAAAAGTTGCGTGAATTTCACCCAGTGGCTGCCCACTCAGGGTCTTTGTGGACCCTTAGCCATTCTGGCATCTCAATTGGATTCTCCTGTGGACATGGTTGGGGGATGAGGAATCAGTGGGGTCGGCGTGCTCTGCTGTTGAGTTGTGTTGTTGTGCATCCAGTACCATCCCATTGCCAAGGATTGGCCGACCATAGCCTGAAACCATTAGCCCCAAAAGCATTTGACACTGCCAGGCGAGGGCACAACTCCGACGCAAGCCGTTAACACCCTGATATGAATCTTAAGACCCAAGCCAGCCCTTCAATTGCAAAGCTTGAATCCTTCACCCGATGATTTGCGATTCCCCGACCCTCCACCACGTGCCTCAAGCCCCTATTGTTCTGGAATTTCATCTTTTCGGCTCTGCTCTTGTCGTCGCGGACAATGAAAGAACTGGCTGCTGAGCGGGCCAGACGGGAGGCGGCTGGCAGTTTCCTGAAGATTTCTATGGCTGGTAGGGTCCTTCATTTACAAGTTGATTTTCAGGAGACTGTTCGTGATCGTGTGGCCTGAAACATCTTTCGTGCGCTCGAAGGATTCTCTGTGGTGACATTCAAGTTTTCTGCGGAGAGCGGCGTTAGCTGGCACTTGACACGACATGGGAACGAGCCCAGGGCCTTGGTTCATCTTGCTGGGTATGATATGGGGTTGAAAGCTGTAACCTGTCTTGAATAGATGCACGTGCAGTCTTCTGTACATGAAGCTTCATCCAGCGCATGCAGGCCCTGAACACATGATGTGTGAAGTCATTAAAGCTGCTGTTCCTGCAAACCCCAGACTTCATTTGCACGTTGAAAGCGTCAGGGTGAGCATTGGTGTTGGAAGTAGTGGGTGCCGCCAGTCCCTTAGTGATTCCGGGATCGAACATCTCGAATCAACCGCTTACAGCTTTACCACAAACTGCAGTGTTAGTAGTGGTAGTCACACCCACGCTTCCCACGTCTTCCCACCGTGCACTGAATTTGAACACCGATGAGGTGGCACTGCGTACATATGGAACTGTCACAGCCCTTCAGCCACAAAGCCGAAAATCCTGCCCAGGGCTGCTAGAGGCCCTTACGCACAGTCCTTGAGGGACCGCGTGGATCTCAGCTTGTCAAGCCTGATTCTGAGCAGAGTCATGTGTAACAGTGTAAGCAGACTTGTCTGCTTGTGTGGTGCATGGCCTTTGGGGTGAGGTTTCACGGGCTAAGTATGTTGAAATTCCAAAGAGGCAACAAGCTGGGGAGATCCGATTCAAGGTTCGCAGGCCTCGTTGGACGTGGCAGCTTCGATCGCTAGATGCGAAGTGATCTTGGATCTAATGTTTGAGTTAAGCTCCACAGCCTTGAGCCGGGGGCTTGCAGAGATGGCACTCCCAACAACCCTACACTGTAGGGCCTGCAGATGACTTGCACCGGTACGCCTGGCCACTTGCCGTGAGTCCACTTTCTACTTACTCTGATTGTTAGAGCCGCTCATGGTACGCAGCTTCAGGTCACCGCGCGTTACCGTTGCTGCCACACACCCTTACTCATCCTTTCGTGCAATCGACAATCAAGAGCGAGAGAGCCATCTGCTGGGCCCTGTCAGCCCCAAGGCGTTTTCGCGGCACCCGGGAGGAGCCAGCTAGCGGCCATGTACAATGGCTCCGGCCCTCAGATGAAAGACTTAGGCCTTCTGTGTGGTGCATAGATCCTTTCGCGTTGCTTGCAAGGAATTCGTAGTCTGACACTTGACGATCACATAAGAAGTTCGGGTATTCTTCAGAGGTGGCCGGTTGGGATGTGTCCGCGAGCAAACCACACATGACGCCTTGAAGGTATGTTCAACCGTTTGCGGATCAAAAGTCCAGAGAAATTCATGAGGTTCCGGCTTGAATGACTGCAAAGCTTGGGTTTGACATCCAAGTCTTTCATCGCAGGCTTAAGCCTCTGCATGGAGGCATCTCGTAGGAAAACTCAGGGGTTGGATAGTTTTTTGAGGCCCAGGTTGTCTGAAGGATTTGGGTACAAGTACTAGAGGCCCTTGTTGGGCCTCGGTCTGAGAGTCTGAATGTGCGACTGTTGGGACGCATGGCCATGGTAGCCATTTGTGCCTCTAACCGCTGGCTGCAACCCTTCCTGCAGGACTAGAAAATTGGCAAGGAGATATCCTGGACTCGACTTTGTAAGGTCAACCCCTTGGACGAGACCCCCTCTCGCAAAAAGGCTTTTTGCTCCAAGCTCCACAGACCCTTCACTTCATAGCCCTCAACTTGTCATCCTATAATTCAAAGGACTAGGAGGGACCCCTAATAGGGACCCTTGAAGCTTATGGAGGCTAATATGGGAACTACCTAGGAATATAGGGGCTATAGAATGACTCTATAAGGTTTATATATGGCAATGGGATTGAGGGTCCCTAATAGGGGTCCCTCCTACAGTCCCCGGAATAATCCAAGCCGGAAATGCTGGCATGACAGATCCTGAGGTATCGGCATCATGACGCCCAAGGGCTCTGGCACAAACGGCCAGGAGCTCGGAAACCTCAGCAGGGGGCCATCTTCTTTTCTGATGCGAGGGGTCATTCTGCAGCTTGTAAGGGGATTCCAGGAGCTTCAACTGCTTTTAGGCTGCAGGGTCAAGGTGTCTGGAACTTTAACGCTAGAGATGCATGCTGTTCCTGAGCACATTGGATCCAAGTATATCAAGCCCTCAGCCTCAAGCAGACAGGCTATGTGCAGCGGAACCTGTCTTTTTTGCCACGACAGCGCTTGGACTTCAAGGCTGCAGGGCATTCAAGGATTCAGGTTTTGGGGCTCGCCAACGCTTGGCCCCATGATCAAGCATTGGAATGAACAACTCACCTTGAAGCCCTGCATGGTTTGAGATTTGGAAGATGTTGGTGCGTTCGGAGCTCCGGCCTTCCACGCCTGTAAGACCAGTACGTGGTCAATGCCAGTGAACTTTCGCCAGGGCATGCTATTCACTTTCCTTTTGACGCTGAATGCCTGCATGCCTCTAAGTGTTCCCATTTTCAGCGCAACTTTTCATCCCTGAGCCCATGCACTGCTCCTTTCAATGCAGGCACAGCTGGGACAGAGCTTCAAGAGCATGACAGGAGAAGGTGCCATCAAGGCCCGCGGGATCTGCTTGTTTTGGGATGGGTTTGGGATCGAATCACTCGTGCTTTATAACGGGGCGATTTGCCAGGGAATCCAATTACGCAACAAGGAAGGATCAGCATTTGGGAGCAGCATGCAAGGTCCGAAAAGCCAACACAGAGCTACTCATCCACGAGCAGAAGCGGAAGGTGCGACATTTGGTTTGGATTGCATCCTTCTTTTGGGAGCCCAGTTGATGCTGTTGGTTGAACGTAGCACACCGATAGGTGTCCCTAGAGGCCATCCTGAACTTCACACGCAAAGCCTGTCAGCCTTCGGCTTCTTTCCTCAGGTGGAGAATGAGCTCATCAAGCTTGAGGCCCACTTTGCGAGGGTTGTCCGCGGGTGTGGCCTTTGACTTGAGTTCACGTTACCAGGTTACGGGCTGAAGGCAATTTTTCAACATGTTTATGACTATGGTTGCCGCGTCGCAGGCCTTAAGCTTACCTGCCCCGAACATAAGGAAAACAAGGCCTTCACATTGAGGAGGTCCGCCACATACCCCTTGATGGGAGGACGAGCTGATGGAAGCTGGCATGCCGGAAGCCGAAGTTCAGCTCGAAGCTCGGTGACTTAGTTTGTCCACCTTTCCCAACCAGGTGTTCGAACGGCGAGTCGCGAAACAGTCATTTATGATTCCTGGCTGCTGCGCAGACTGTCCCTCCCCAATAGCTTCAAAAAAGTACAGTGCTCGATGCCATCACAAAATAGGTCGGGGCAGATTCTTGTGGGTTTGTAGAATTAGGATTGCAGGGTCTCGCTGCTGGAGAGACCTCTCCATCAAATTCTGAGGGTTTTTGCTTGTCGCAAACAAATGGGAGCCTGGTGCTGCTTGCAGGGCCGCCATCGAGCGCGAGCGCAAGCACATGCTCAAAGCCGTCGAGGCATCTTGTGTTGGAACCCTCAATTTTCCGGTCTTAGCGTTCTTTGCTGCTTTACTACTGAGTTTTAAGTTATGTTGTATTTTGTCATGGCCATTGTTCTTCTTTCTGCTATGAATGTTAGAGGAATGGAATCTTCGCCAAAACAAAAGGTTACTCTGCTGGTCTTGCTCCACAGCTTCTAAAGTTCTGACAGAAGTTCAAAGCAAAGCCAAAGCAAAGTCCCCAGACCGGCTCGCTGCGTTACGACTCGGAGCTGGAGAAGAAGGATTCTCACCATCAGGCGCCTGCCTCACCTGCCTCAGCTCAAGGCTCAAGGCTCAAGGCAAGCTCTGCTCTGAAAGATTCAGCTTTGAGTCTTCAGAATCCTGTGATCATGCTTCCAACTCTCGCGGAATCCTTTCCCTCTGCCCTAAACCTATCTAAACGCCCGTTCCCTTGCCACGAATTTGGATTCCTCCACATCCTGAGGCGATGGAGAAAGAGAAGGAACTGCACAGGCACCGCACCTCCAGGAAGAGTTTTGCAGGTTAGATTGTGGTCCAGGACTTCTGTGCTTGCGGCTCTGTAGCTAGTTTTCTCTCCTTTGCTGCCAACACCTCCTAGCGGGATTGAAATTTTTCTTCTTGCAGTGACTGTTGAGTTCATGCTGGTATCCTGCAAGCTGGCTTCAGGTTTGAAAAAGCCGTGGGCATCGATACGCGTTCGCGGATTGTCGGCCAAGCCTTCGACCAGGAGCTTCAGGCATGGAGCCTCCTGGAGTTTTCGAGCCCAAAGCCCGAATGCCCGAATCAGAACACCAGAGTCTGCAACTTGCCAACCTAAAGCATCCTCTGCAAGACTTCGCGCGAAAGCCCTGCTAGGCACAGCTGAAGCTGGAAAGGATGCAACAAAAGGCCGAGCAGGCGAAGATGGAGTGTCAGGGTGTTTGTTGCGCAGATGAAGAAGCTCTTGGGTGGAACTCAAAACTATTTGCAGTGTATGCAAGAGCCCTTAGACTTAGATTTCAGAAGTTCAGGGATGAAAAGACTGTGAGACCACCCTTTTTTTGGAGAAGCACTGCTGCAGGTGGGGACATCAGAACACTGATGGATACTAGTCTGGTGCTTCAGGTTCTTCAGGTTTTTGCACGGCGCTTTCTCAAGCGCCTCCGGGTTGTGTTGAAGCATTGTTGCAACTGATTGACTGCATCGTCTGATGCTGCCAGCACACAGGGAAGCTCAGCATCTATCTAACGGTAAACCCTCATAGGCCTTCATATTGCGCAGCTTTGCAGCTTCTTCGCAGCGTGGCTGCATGGATTAGTAGCGCAAAGCGTTGCAAAGTTTCTGGCTCGTTTTGAAACATGCCAATCTGATCTGAATAGCCCTCTAATGTCGGCAATTCCTTTGAAACTTTGTGCATTCCTGGCACATGTCCTGCAAACATGTTTGTCTCGAATCTCTATCCCCATCTTATGTGAGTCCCGCGATCTTGGCTCGAAAATCGTTGCTTGACTGTTAAAACGTTCCTGCTTGCTTCAGCTCTTGGACAGTGGACTTGGACCTGAAAGGCTCAAGGTTCATAGCGCAAGATGCCGTCACCACAAACGCGAGCTTGAGGCAGATGACAAGATAGGCTTGTCCCCACGTTTCAGGAAGAACAACCCAGAGACCCAACACTTGTTTGAGACGGCCGGCCTTGCCAGGAGCAAATGCGACTTGAAGCCCAGAAGAAAGCTGAGAAGGCAGGGCCAACGCGGGGCTTGATGTTGTGTTGCGAAAATTCGGCGTGAAGACCGTGCGTGGAGATTGTCAGAATCATATTATGCTGTTTGTGGTAATCGCATGACAGCTGAGGACATGAAGAACTGAGCTGTTCACTTGGCTACCGCTTGGCATCAATGTGCAGTGCTTGATGCATAGTGGATTCAAGGCTTGAGACATGCATCAGCCAGTGATTGAGTTGCTGCTGAATGGTTGTCGGCAGCAACTAGAATGGTGCAATTGATGATTTTGAGTCGAAGTCGAAGTCAGTCTCTAGAAATTCCAAACCTCCAAGTCCCAAACCCGAGGCATGACTTGATTTTGAAAGCCAGAAGCCCCAACAGCTTTCAACAGGGCAGTCTGTCAGGCTCAGGAGAGGGCCGAGAAGCTCAGGAAGAAGGCCGAAAAGGCCAGCTGCTTGGCGGGCGGTGGATTCTATGATCTTGGTTGTTCTTCTTGACTGCAGGGTGTCAAATTGTTAAACATCAGTGCCTTGCAGGAGTTAGTTACAGCAGTGTTGAGCCTTGCACAGGATGCAGTTGATCTGCAACATATAGGCTCAGGATAGAGGCGCCCAGCATTGAGCTGCAGAAGGAAAATAGAGTGATTGCAGAAACTGCATAGGAAAGCCTTATTTTTGTCATGGTAGCGGAGCTCACCCAGGAACATTGAGGAGCGATGATTCTGTCACAAGCCATGGCAATAGCAGGTGTGGCCATATGGTTGACAGGATTGGCCGTTCTGATAGTTTGCTGGCGCCACCTGAAAGCTCAGGAAAGATTTCAGGTTAAGACAAGGAACACGCACTACATGACTACATGCCGGAGTTGAGCATAGCCGTGCGTTCAGGAAAAACATATCACAGGGGCTGTTCATCCTGTTGGTGAAGTCAGGAAATTCAGAGCTTACAAAGTATGCCTTTTCAGGCCTACACAGTGGAGTCTGTGTCCAAGAGGAAGCCCCGATGCTTCTTCTGTCCAGGAATCACTGCTTTCGTGGCAGGAATTTGGATTGGTGTGGTGTTCAGCTTGTACGGCATGCACCTTTCAGGAATCGGTGCATCGGTGCACAGAGGCATCGTCAAGGAAAGCAGTGTTCCCTACGCGGAAGGAAGAGCCTTCAGGAAGATGAAGATGAAATAGCCTCCGTAGGAAGAAGACGTCGACCCAGCCAAGGACACGAACATGGTCAAGGAAACAACTTGCTCGAGCAACGCCAGAAACAAGGAAAGCAGCATGGAGAAGAACAAGACCACACAGAGCTGTTGTCGCTATGGTTTGTGCGCAGGAATTTTAGAGAGCCCAATCTGTTTGAGAAACTTAGAGGACAACTATACCGACTTCATGAACATGCACATGATCCGGAACAAGAACATGGACCAGAGCGTGTTGAAGAAAATAGGAAAACAACTCATGCCCTTCGTTGCCCTGATAGCAACTGCAATGTTCAAGTTGGAGGAAAAGTTCTACATCGTGCTCTACATGATCAGTGAGTGGAGCCTTGGGCCAGGTTACACCCCTGAGTATTCAGTGGAAAAGTTTCACATAGTCTTGAAGGAACTCATGTTGCAAAGAATCGTAGGATGTCTCTTTTTGTGATGCACTGCGCTAGGAATGATTACTTGGATCATTCTTTCTAACATTGCTCATGGGAACATTTTGTTCAGAGCAAGCATAAAGAAGAGCAAGAAGCTGTCAAGGAAGCAGAGGAAAGACGCAGCCGCATGCCGGAAAGCGCAAAGCATTGTTACTCATGGTTTGCCGGTATAGCAACCTACAGGTTGCAGCATCAATGGATCAGGCGATGCAAGCACTGTTGCAACAATCTCAGCAGACAGCGGCGCAAGTACAGGAATTATCAAGATCTTTACAACAGTCAACTTCATCAGGGTCACAGACAGTGAGTGAACTAGCAGCAGCACTGGCATCATATGCAGGAGCTTCAGCAGAAAGAGAGCAGAAGCTGATTGAGGCCATTACAGAAACACACAAATCAACAGGTGAAGGAATTGTTAGTTCACATACCCTGTTTACACAGGAAGTTCGAAGAATTGTGGATGCACAGGAGAAGAAAGCCAAGAAGCCAGGTACTCGCGCCAAATTCTTGGCCTGAAGAAAGACAGAACTGGATAGACTGAGGACTTGGTTATTTGTGGTTCATCCAAAATCATTCCAAGCCTGGGACGTGGCAGAGAAAGAACCCAACAAGAAATTGTCTATGAGCAATTCTACCGAAGAAGGAAAAGCACTCTCAGAGCGGCTCTACGGGATCCTCAGCAGCTATACCAAGAATCGACCTCAACGTGTTCTACAAGCTATTACCCAGGAAAATGGTCTAGAAGGATATCGTCCATTCCTGGAATGTAGCGCCTCGCAACCACGGCTCGGCAGATCATGAACTATCGCTTTTCCGAGGAAGCAGGGTATAGCGAGAACATCTTCAAGTTTGGAGAAGTACTTGAAGAGTTTGAGCGCGCGTCGCAGGAAAAGGTGTCAGAGTCCTTGAAGATAGGAACTTTGGCAGATGGAGTGACACCAACGCCGCTATGATCCCGGAAGCCACCAACAGCGACCACTACTACCAGAGCATGTATAGAAGGAATCTAGTGTGTTTTTTTGTGCTTAAAGAAGTAAGTGCAGCATATCCAAAGCACTACATGATGTTGTACGAACGTTCTCTGTAGAGGAATAATTTGTTGTTAACTGAGGTGTGTGATGGAGTTACTTTTACCACTCCAAGAGGAAGTGTAGTTAATGTAGAAGTCAGTTTAGGATTGAAATAATCCCTTCACTCCTTTCTAAGGCGGGGTGTTAAACATCAGTGCCTTGCAGGAGTGACAGGAGTGTTGAGCCTTGCGCAGGATGCAGTTAATCTGCAACATGTAGGCTCAGGATAGAGGCACCCAGCATTGAACTGCAGAAGGAAATCAAGTGCCTTGCAGGAACTGCATAGGAAAGCCTTATTTTTGTCATAAATCTCAGACTCGAAGTTTGTGTCAACGCATGGCCAGCACTAGGCAAACATTTCCATTGGAGATCTTCGGTGCCACAAAGCCCTTAGCCCTCCAACCCTTGAATCGGTTACGAAGACAAGCGAGAGGCCAAGAAGAAAGCAGAGGCGAAGTTGGAGAAACTAAAGGCCAAGCAGGAGAAGCGCTTGGGCCGCGTTCGAGGGGGTGCCAGGGATACGGGTCTGCTACGACACGCTGGGCTCTAAGGCATGTTCGGGTTCATTGACTAGTTGCTTGGTGGGTCCAACAGAGATGTGGAGCAGCATACGCTAGGTGTGTTTGGTGCCATGGCTTCTTCTTTTGGGTGGTTTTGTCTTTTGGCCGGCGTGATGGTAGAGAGCATAATATGGTGCTAGTGTACATCATGGCAGTTGATGAATTACGTTACCTTGATTTCCATCTCCCAAGTTCCCAAACAGGGCTTCTGAGCAGGACATGACGTCTGTGTTCAGCAGCCTTTGTTTGGGGCGCTTGTGCCACCGAGGCAGAAGATCAAGGAGGAGGAAAAGGCCAGAACTTGGGGACGTCGGCGTGAGGTGGTTGGATGGACTTCAAACTTGTGACACGTGTTTAATCCCTTTGGATCTGTCTTGCGCATGAAGCTTCCATTGGAGTCGCACTTGCAAAGAGCATGGTGCAGCAGCTCTGCATGGGTCTTGAAATTCTGATGCTGGAATCTGGCTGGTCAAGATGGCCAAGGCTCAAAACTCGCGTGACGACCCACTGGCTGAACTCAACTGTGAAGCCAAGAAAACCTCAAACCTTCCCTCAGCAGAAAGCAGCAAAGCCCAACTTGTCATTGCAAACAAAATCCCAAACTGCTCAACCCAAAGACCCCTTCCACCAGTTCTGTAAGGCAGCGAAGCTCAAGGAGGAGCTCCGAGAGGCTGCTGTCAAGGCCTCCGCATGTAGTGAGATGTAGTGAGGACAATCAGAAGAATCGTAGCAAGGAGTTCGCCAAAGAGGAGTAGATGGAACAAGGAACTACCATGAGTAGTACTAGTCGCGACGTTATGTAGGACGAGTAGTGGAACTAATAAGGTCAGTGAGAATAGCTAGCAGTATCTCGCAGTGTTGCTAGTTACAGCTATGCAAGCACTGCGGGCTTGGGCTGTTCAGCATGTTTGCAATTAGTGTTGATTTCTTGTTTTCCCAAAGTTTTCGTTTTGGGCATCTTCATTTTGGGTGTTTTCGGCCAAGGGGTTCGCAGAATATTGGACCGAAGTGTAAGAGCGCCCGCTTCGGCTTCCTGCAGGAAGAGGAGGAGATCAAGGAGCAGCCAATAGAACGGCCTAAGAAGAAAGAGATTGCAGCTTGGCCGAGGAATAGCTTCCCAGAAGGGTTGGGTTAGTCAAGAAGGCTGGGGTGGTTGGGGTCTACTGAGGCCAAGGCAGCCTCAGCTTGTACAAACTTGCGGACAAAAACTGCATTTCCAAACCCCAAGCTGCGTTAAATACATTTGGCTTGTTATGGATGCGTGGAGAATTTTCCAGGCGCTGGGTCATTTGATGCTTGCGAGCTCGAAAGGAAGTCAAGTGAGGGAGGATGAGCAGCGGTTATAGTTCCTGAGCTTCACCCAGGAAAGCTACACTGTTCCCCAACGCATAACCAACCGAAGCGCAAAAAGCTCTCAAATCCTGAGCTAGCATCGAATGACGCCATGAGTCATGATGCAGAAGCAAGCTCCAAATTCTCATCCCAATATGCTAACCCAGCCCACCAACTCATTGAAAAAGCTTGGTGTAGTCAGCGCATCGAAGGTGATCGAGCCTCCAAAACCCCGAGAAATGAGGCGGGCCAGCATTGGTGCGTCTGAGTCCTGACGACGCCGATTTAGGGTTTGAGTTCGAGCTACAGGATACGGGCCTGAAGGTTTTTTGTACCGGTTCTGTCTCTGTCAGGGACCTAGTCTTCAGAGTCCACGTCTTTCCAGAGCGATGAGAACTTCCAACGGCTCCGGCAACAGCGTTCAGAGCACATGCAGCACGGCAGAACAGGCACAGCAAACCGGAAACTTAACCCACTCTTATGAATCTTCTGCCCTCAGGCTCCCTGTGCAAGTTGCAGCTTACCTTTCATGACATCTCAGGGCGAAGGTGGAGCCTGAGGATGATCGATGGCGGCCGGATGGCATGGAGCGGCATCTCCAGCCAGAGAATAGAATGGTGGCTTTGGGGTTTGAGGATTTAGAGCTTTCAGGCTTCTTCGAATGCTGATGCTTCACCAGTATGCCTTTGGCCTAGTCCGCATCTACTCCGCAGGATAGCCGCAGGGATCGGGATGCGCCGGGGAGCTCAGCAGCTTGGAGTGAGCCCATCATTGAGCCTTCAGCCGTGCTTTGCCTGTATTGTGTGCCTCTCTTCCGGCATGGTTTGGTTTGGGGACCCAGTCTGGAACTTGAGAGAGCTCATGTCAGTTGGGAGTGTAATGCTCGAAATGCGCGCTTCAGAGCTGCTTGCCCTTCTTTTCCTGCGTGTGGGCATTCCCAGCTCCCGCTTATCTCCCAACCTTGGCCTTTCCTCAGAAGTATGCTAACAGGCTTTTGCACGCAATTTCCTGCTTTCCGTACTCATCATGAAAGAGCTCCTGCTTAGGATTGTTTTCTCACATTGATGGAGGGGATCACGATCCCCAGGCTCCAGGCCGCAATTTTGGAGAAGCCAAACAATGACCCATGCCTCGAAGTTGTTACTTTGATCTGCTTTGCATTTCCGAGTCGAATGCACCTTGTGAGATTTCACCTTGCCCCCCCAGGCACCGGCACCGCAATGACAACCGGCGCAGAGATGATCGGCGCCGCGAGGATGACCGGCGCCGTGATGACGACCGGCGCAGAGGCCTAGAAGTCTTCAAGCCACCAAGGATTTCCGTAAGCGCTTTGCAGCAACCGAGCCCATATTCTGGAGCCCTCAAAGCAGCCCCCCTTTTACAAGCCTGTACTCAACATGGAACCATTCTTTGCGAAGAGTGCGACTAATCTGCATGCTCCCGCTCAGGAGATTTTTCAGACTTCAAATGCTGAAAAGCCTTCCAAAACAACTATAGCGGACAGCTCATGACATGCAGCGGTGAAATCTCAGCAGGGCAGATATGTAAGCTGCCAGGTCGCGCGCGATCAGAGGATAGCTACGATGACGATTCGGACTCGGACGACAGCAGTCTGGGGCCCGGCCTGAGCTTGGGGTGGTTTGCGGCTTTCGGTCCCAGCTTTCGGTCCCAGAGTGGTTTGAAGCTTTCAGGGTTTGGACCTCCGGCTTCTTGTCATTGACAGGGGACCCTTTTTTTGCTTGCCGGAAACTTGAAGGTCTGACTTTGCAACATATCTCTGATTCCATGTTGAAACTGTGCTGTCAAAGGTTGTTGCCATGGTTCCTCGATTCAGGCGACTCGGATGATTCCGATGACAGCAGCGATCACCGAGGCATGGTTGATTTAGAAGAGTGTACCCTGAGCTCGTGTTTTGCGGGCCTCAGCTTGCTGGTTTGAGTGCGACTTTGCAGTGTGGGCCTTGATGTGCTGATTTAAACAGGACTCTGTCTCTACTCATCTTCATGCCTGAACACTGTGCCTCCGACATTTTCCGCAGACTGCTTGCAGCTCGCTCTGGTAGATTTATCGGCAACCTCTGGCGTGCTCAATTTAACACCTGCAGCTCTGATAGCCAGGTCGCGGGGGCGAACGCCGCAGAGAACGCCGCTGCCCCGGAGTAGGGATTCGAAAGCCAACGAGGGCGCCTCGCATCGATAAGATTTTGGGAATCGCGACGACCGTGCATTTCCTAACAGCACGTAAGCTCTTGCCACATCTGTCCTACTCAACAAGCTGAGAATGCGGAGAGGTCGCTTTTGGAAACGAGCCAGCTGGAGTATCCTGAGTTCTTGTTAATGAGGGCAACATGAGGACATGCTTTGCAAGGAGTCTGAGGTAGCAGCTAGGGAAAGGGGGTGATCTGTGTCTATTTTTTGCGTCATCTGTGTCTTTTTACTTTGCGTTATTTGTGCTTTTTTTTTTGTGTTGTTTTGGTGCGATGTCTCAGGGAATGGCTTCCTGTGGCCAAGAATATGCGTAATCAGTGTCTTTTTTTTTGCGTTGTCTGTGTCGTTTTTTGTGCGCTATCTGTGCTTCCTTTTTCCGTCCATTTTAGGTGTCTTTGGAATCATTAAACGCCTATACCCTAAAACCCTAAACCCTAAAAACCCTAAACCCTAAAGACCCTAAACCCCAAAAACCCTAAACCCTCAAAACCCTAAACCCTAAATACCCTAAACCCTAAAAACCCTAAACCCTGAAAACACAAAACCGTAAGCTAGACTCATGGAGAAAAGGTCACCAAAAAAGATAAACCAACGCCCTAAAAACCATAAACCCTAAAAACCAGAAAAAACATTAAAACATTAAAACATTAAAAACATTAAAAGCATTAAAAACCCTAAACCCTAAAAACCCTAAACCGTTACCTTTCACCCTAAAAGGAGATGTTTGTTGCCAAGCCCTTAACCCAAAGCGGGGATGTTGGCTGCCAATCCCTTAACCCTAAAAGGAGATGCAGAATTCGGAGAAGCTTTGCAAGATAACTCTGAAGGAGGC